CAGTTATTAATGATACTTATAAAATATCTTTCAATATGATACATAAGACATTTTTCTGAACATATAACACTTTTGAACTTGGAATTAAGTAAAATATCACAGACTGCAAGTGTAAAAGTGCAATGCTCATTTAAGAGTGTAGGTATAGCAACCTTTGAAAAGGCAGCTTTTGCAATTATTGATACCCAAAAGACATCTTTATCGTCTATTTCAAAGAGTACATGATAACAATCCAAAACTTCATTACTTTGCTTCCAACTTACTATATTAGCTGGTGTAGTATCTTTTTTTAATGATAGTAGTCTTTCACAACCAAACATATGTCAGACTGCTGCCCTTATATTTTGAACTAATGCACCTTGCAAATTTTTTATTTTTTGCAAAAGCTATTGCAAAAATTAGTAATAAGCCATAATTAAAAGAAATAAATTTTAAAAAATGATAGATATTGATTTATATGGAGCTGAACCATTCTTCATGAAATCTATTGATATATTGATTGGAACTTAAGCTATGTATAAACTCAGAATATCTTTCTTTAAGGCATTGTTTGAGTGCATTTTTCAAATCACTTTGACTAGGATATATGTTATACAGAAAGAGCTGCTTAGCTATGCAGATAAATATATCTTATATTTTAAAAAACAATATATATATTACATACTAGATGCTATATACTACTTAAACATGCTAGATCTGAGATGCTATATATTGCTTAAACATGCTAGATCTAAATTGTTGCTAACCCAAAACACTTACATCTATCACTTGTGTGAAGAGATTATTCTCTTGTTGTTCTTAATTCCTTTTCAGGCAATCTAGCCTGGCTTTAATTTTATTTGTACTTTTCTCAAGTCTTTTGAGTATTAAATATAAATGTTTAAGTTGAATGAACATTTGCTTATCAACTTAATAGTGATACTGATAGTGGTCATGGTAATCATGACGGTTATGGCAGTCATGAAGGTCATGATGGTCAGAGTAGTTAGAGTGATCAGAGTGGTTATAGTTTGCTTAATGTAACAATAAAAAAAATTTTCAAAAAAAAAAATTAATAAATTTCAAAAAAAAAATTTCAATAGCAAATTGTTGCAAATTATTAAAAAAAAAGCCTTTATATACATATTACTTTGACTATATGTATGATTTTGATTTAATGATCTTTTATCACATGTTGGTGATCTCTCTTGTGATTATGATCTTGAAGAAGGTTATTGAACTAAAGATAATGATCGATAATAATCAGTATGATGTGATTTAGAATAATATCTAGATTTATCATTTTGGAGAATGATGGAAGGCTGACAAGATATAGAATGAGTGATGAAAGGCTGATGAGATATGAAATGGATAGAGAATTGTTGGCATGATTAACATCGAGATGCTTGTAAAGAAGATCTACTTATATTTAAATATGTTTGTTGAATATTTCTAATGCTTTTAGTAGTTAAATCAGAAGATAAACTATCATTATTAGGGTTAGATAGTTGATAAGGTTCAGTAATATTATTAGTATTTAAAAGTTGGGAGATATTTGACTAGAAATAAGTAATAGGTGCTGCAGAGTATGATGGTATACTATTTCTAGATTGGTTATTTATTGTATTAAAAATTCTTTTATCATTATCTTTTATATTAAACTTGTATTTATATTTTTTTGAATCTATTACACAAGAATAAAACAAATTAATATCTAATGATGTCAACCACTTATGATAAAAAAAAATCTAATAATACAAGAATACTTATTATATAAAATTTAAATATAAAGTATAATAACATGAGTACACTTATATTTATACAAAAATTTACTTACATCATTAAATATAAAGTATAATAACAATTTCTGGAGATAATATACATATACTATATTATTGCTAAGATTTATTAATATTAATAATGTTACCAACTTAATTGTACATAATAGTTAGATATATAGTAAATTTTAGTTATTCAAAGTATCATTATTGATGCATATTTATTGTGATCAAAAAACTTAAAATAATAATATATTACATTTAATTTAGATAGATCAAAAATGATGTTTTAGATGACAAAATTTACTATATATCATTTTAAAGAGATTTTTATAAAGTTGATAGTATTGTGTAACATATATAAAATTTATTTGAACTATGCAATAAAGCATTATACTTATATATTAAACTTAGTAACATAGTAGTGTCATAAAAAATCAGCAGTCATATGATGATTGTCTTATATAATTAAAATTTTATTAGTCAAATTCTTATTATATAAACTGCCACATCTGATTGGATGACATCAAAGTGAGCAACAACAAAAAGAGGACTATTCGAAACTATTTAATTCAAATATATATTATAAGAACCTAGTTGTGACTAATACTTTGTGTTTTTAAGATTGAAATATAATGATAAAGTTTGATTGTAACTAAAATTAAAGGTTCCTCTTTATGTTTATTAAGTTATTAAATTAAACTAAAATTAAAAGTTTCTCTCTATATTTATTAAGCTATTAAATTGAATAAAAAATCATTGCTCAAGTTTTTATTTATTTAAATATTAGAAATTATATCATTATAAAACTTATCCTGTTATCCAGTAGTTATGTTTTCTGGATATAATCTTTATTTAATAGAATTAAGCTATACAATATCAATTTCTTGGCTTTATATCATTACAATTCTAAAACATATCCTGTTATCTCACTTAACTGTTTAAATAATGTCTTTACTAAATCATACTGCTATATCTTAAAAGCTGAGTAATTAATACTTGATGCTCTAAACTAAAGTATTCTGTATTTAAAAAATTCGTCATAACTTTATTTCTAGCCTAACTTTAACTCTTAATACTAAATTTTATACTAATATAATATTAAACACTACTGGTGACCACTGGTGTATTAATTTATAAAATGTTTACCCAAGATATCGTAAAATTAAAAAAAATAATTTAAAAACTATGCAAATATTTTTCATCTTTAAGTGAAGATATCTTAACAATTACTTATCTAAAATCAGTAAATTATTTATTTCAGTTCTATGTAAGTATATAATTAAAATAAAATATCTTCACTTAAAGACTATTAAATTTACAACTACTTTACAATATAAGAAGCAAAACATTCTGTTATGATTATCAAAAATATGTAACAAGTTATTCTAAATATTTAAGAAATTTATGTACTTATGTATGTACATATATTCTTGAGTGATAAATCAACTAACACTAAGCTACAACTACATATTTTTTTTTAGCTTCAAAATGTCAATTTGGTTCGATTAGATACATGTTGATTAAGTCTTTAACGATTTGTAATTATCATTTTATCTGTCTGATAAACAACTTAATGAAAAAAAATGAAAATTACAAAATATTTAATATTAAGAACTTTAGATTTATATTGGGTCACTAATTTTTGTATCAAAAAAGTTATTTTTACTATTGTTTGTTATTGCATTTTTGATTTTACAGATGTATATGCTTTTTTATTGTTTTTTTTTTTACTGAATTATAAATAAGTTATGTGGACCAATTAATTCTAAGAATTTGTGTACAGAAACATTCATTCCTAATATCTATCTTTTAAAGTATTGTTTGGAGTGCTATATAAGGTCACAATGAAAAATAACCCAATCATATACTACAACATTTCACTCTCTGAATAACTATACACTTTGTTTCACTTTGTTCTTGATAAAACAATTAAAATATGAAATGCATTAGTTCAGTTTTAATGCAAAATATACATTAAAATAGTATATTAACTAAATAATTAACTAAATTAATAAAATAAATATTCAAAACATTAATAAAATTTTAAATCAATTATCTGACACTTTGCAAAATTTTTACATAGATCATTTTATGTCTTAATAAGTTAAAAAAAATAGATCAATTTTTAATAATAAGAAATCACTTGTACTAGTTTTTTTTGGTAGTATTTCTGTATTTTGTATAGTTTTTAATATGCATATATACATATACGTAAACTATTAATATAACAGTGAATATACATACATAAAATAAATGCTTTTATATACAATTAATATACATATAAAAGGATAATTTAGCATGCATATATATATTATATATATATATATTTTATTGCATCTGCCATTAAATCATAAGAATAAAATGTTTGATTAACAATTGTAAAAATACTCAAATAAGAAATGTTTAACAAATCTATGATGTTAATTGTTAAGTAGTTTAATAAATGTAGTAGAAAAATGATTGACAACTCAATATTAATTGCTAAATTCTGTACAAAGTTTGAGTTAACATTAATAAATGCAAAGAAATTGAATAGGAAAATATTTACAAATTATTCAAACTAATAAGTCTAAAGACAATTAAATAGAGAAATATTTAACAAACCTATAATTTTAGTCACTAAGTAGTTTTAGTTAGTAAAGACAAACAGTTAAGAATTCAAAATTATATCAATAGCCAAATTAAATACAGAAATAAATATATCAATATGAAAATAACTATAGCAAAAAAAGAAGATAGGACTAATATAATATATAGTTATATCTACTTTTTGCATTCATATATATAAATAACTGCTTTTTAGTCTCTAACAAGCTTTAACTTTCGAGCCTTAAACATATACTGTAAATAATTTTAACATTAAGCAAAATTGTTACTATTTGAATTTTATTATTTGTAATTTTTCATAATAGAATTTTTTTTATAAATTATATTTGGTTCATTGTAATTTTACAAACAAGCATATAATTTCAACACTTATGCATTTAAATTAAATTTAAGCTACCAATTTGAACATCATCTAAAAGAATTGTTTATGTTGACTATAGATTATTGAATTGTTTTTAAATCAATTTAGATTACTTCTTGATAATATAATAAATCAATTAACTAACATAAATAGTGTAAAATAGTCATAATTAATTTTTTTAAAAATCAATTAAATAATTTAAAGATATGAATAGCTTCTCTAAAATAATAATATGTATATGCTGTAGTGTGACAAAATTAACTAATAAATTTATGCAAATTCATGGTTCAAATAAAGGTTCATTTGATACATGCAATCATTGTTCTGAACAAAGGAAACAAAAATTAGCAAAAAAATATCCAAATAATGAAGATACAATACAAGAAAATAAATTAAATAATATACTATCTGAAAGTGACCATGACTCAAGTCTAATAATAGAAGTTGAAGCTAATATAGATGAAGTTTTTGTTTATAAAATAGGTAAACTTGAAGAACTCATAGCTGAACATTTTTTAAATTATAAAGAAAATAAACATATTGAGTTCACAGCTATTATTAAATTAAGTAATGATTTAATTAAAGAGGCTTTATCAAATGAAACAAATCTAGATAGTGCTAGTAATAAAAGTTTTCATATTATAATAACTTTATTGTTTATTCCAATTGAAGCTAGATTATAATATAACTAAGAATTAAAAAATCTTTATATAAATAAAAGGAATAGACAAGCTTATAAATATGCTATAACTTATTTGACTTATAGTCAAAAAATTAAATGTCAACATAAGTGTTCTGATAATCAACCTGCTAAATAAATTAGTGAATTATGGCCAGCTATTAAAAAATTTCCTTGTAATGAAAATATTACAATAAAAATTAATTTTAAAATATAACAAGTAATATTATTAGTTGTATATTTAATAAATCATAAAAAACCAACTCAGCATCCAATAAAGTTACCTTAAGAAGCAATTATTTGAATTAAATTAAATTTGAACTATGGCCTTCATGTTATAGAATTTTATAAAAGGCTTTCTAATAAAAAGCTTATAGACTCTACAATTCATAATTATCAACAAATATATTATTGGGTGCTTAAACTTTCTGTTAGACAATATATATTAAATATAAAAAATCAAGTTATTTCAACTAAAGAATACTTATAACATCAAGAATTAATTAATAAAGATTTTAAATTAATCTTTTATATCAAAAATAATTTTGTTAGAGCAATCAGATTTATTACACTGTTCATAAACAAAATTTTAAAAGAAAATATTAATGAGCTTATTTTTGATTCTCATTTAAAACAAACAAAGAAAAATTTAAACTATTTGCCTTAATTGTTAATTGTGAAGGGTTCAGAATGCTGTTTGCTTATTTGTATTTTGATATATTTACTGTATCTGAAGAACTTCTACAAGATTCTATAAATAAAATTAATAGCCAAACTCATGTTCTTGTAGAATTCTTTTAGCTTATTAGAAAAGAAGGCATCTTATCTTTTTTTATTTTTCTTGACAAAGATATGAGACAAATAATGGCAGTGGAGGATGCCTAGTTATAACAAACAAATATTTAATTATATATTTGACATGTTGAATATGCCATTGATTGAAAAATAAAAGAAAAAAAACATAAAACTTCACATTACTTAATTCAAAAAGCAAAGGAAGCAAGTAAATAATTTCTCTTTATTGACTTAGACTGGTTGCCTAAAAGAATGCAAAGTTTAATATGCTTTATAAAAAATGTAAAAGACATTAAAAATATAATTAGACAGCATTTAATGCTTCATCCACTAATTCCAATAAATGTAAACACTTTTCTTACTTTAGAAAAAATATATTATCAAAGTGTTTTAGAGATTTATCAATACTGTTGATGAAATAATCTTATTAATTTGTAGGCATACCTGTAGGTAAATTGGTATGATAGAAAAAATTGAAAACTTTTCACTCAATCATCTTACCCTAAAGCTATACCTATAGCAAGCATCACAATAATTGTTGAATCCTACTAAAGAGTTCTTAAACATAACTATAAATATAACTATAACAGACCTCGTTTCAATCATCTAAATTATATAATAACAAATCAATTAGTCTCTGATATGATATACACTTGGCAAAGGTATAGTAATAACTAGAAGTTCTCATCATAATAGGTTAATTTTAAAAATATATAAAAGATATGTAGAAGACTGGGTTAATAATGGTTAGGCCCAATGTACTGAGAAGACTACAGTATCTTTCACAGCTGTGCAAGCCAAGTTTAAAATAATGAGTAACCTTGCAGAAACATCTTCTTACTTCTTGAATTCCAACTCTTCATCTAACTCCAAGAACCTTCTCTGCTATAATATCTTTCTTATCAATCATAATCTTCCAACTCTATCACCTAAACAAACACTACTATCTTTTATTTAACATCTAAAAAATAACTCTTTTAACAAACCTTTTATAATCTCTATTAATAATACACTTACAGAAACACATATCTATAAAAATCTAAAATATAAACTCCTATCTAATCACACTTTTTTTCTAAGTTTATATTATTATTTATACAATAACCTCCTATTAAATTACATTTTAGATACTCAACTTCTTATAATATCTCTGATAGTATTTTCTTCAATAAACATAATGATACTAATTTAAATTCATTTATTCCTAATTTATATAACTCAAATTCTACAACTACTAATAATATACCTTCTCTACAAACAACTCTCTCACCTATTATTTCAATTCCTATAAAAATTGGTTCCTTAAACATTAATGGTTTACTTTAACATTCAAAAAAACTCTCACTAATTGACATAATCAACCAATATAATTTTGATATTTTTGGTTTATTGAAAACACATCTAACTTCAAAAGAAGGAAAATTTATTAACAAAAAACTCCAAAACTATAACAGTTTCTAAAGTTCTTATGAAAATTCTCATCAAGCAGATGTTGGTATTTTCATATATAATAAAATTTCCAAATATATAGCTAGAACACATAATTATAATAGCCATATAATTGGTTTTGATTTGCACTTTAAACACAACTCTATTCATATTCTCTAAATTTACCTTTCAACAGCAGAAAAAAAACAACTACATTCTTAAATTCAAGAACAAATTATCCAACTTTGCAACAACTCCAACTATCAACTAATAATACTTGGTGATTTTAACAGTATTCCTAATTTACACCTAGATAGAAATTCCCCTAAAAACACTTCTATATCAGAATCTCAAATCCTTAAATATCTAATTTGCCATTAATTTAAAGATATATACCAACTTTTCTTTCCTCAAATTCATAACTTTACTTTTGCTTGCTCAATCTCAAATAGTAGAATTGACCAAATATAGACAAATCTAAGCATATCTCAAATTGATTATACTGACATTCTTGAAGATATCTTATCTGAATCAGATCACAAAATCATTACTCTTGATATATCTATAACTATTAACAAAACAAAACCTACCAAACAACATATAAGGAAAAACTTTCTTTGAAAAAACTGTTTTAAGGAAAACCTTAAAAATTACTCAAACCAAACATTACAAAGCCTTGCACAACTTCAAACTAAAATATCAAATATTACTAATCAAAATGAACTTAATCTAATTTGGAATAAAATACTCAAAGCACTTTCCAAAGCTGCTACTAAAAACATTCTTTATAAAAAAATCAAAACTATTCATGAAATCAAATCAGATAAACTACTCAAACATTATTCACTCTATTATAGATTCAAACAAATACAATATCTTAAAAATTACTTACAATCCCCAAATCTTTATAATCTTCTTCATAAATACAATACTAAATATCTCAATAATTTCATTATTCAATCTCAAACATCTGATAATCTTAAATCTACTATTAAACAAGAATTTATTCAAATTAAATTAGCACTTAATACTTATTACCAACAACAAACCCAAAAAGAAATTCAACAAAAAATTGAAGATCGAAACCAACTTTTTTACTTACAACCAAAAAAATTCTTTAAAAATATTCTTGAAAAATACAATAGTATACATATTGCAGATTATTAAATCATAACATCTTATTGACAAAAGAAAATCAAATTAAACAAGCTATCCACACTCATTTTTCTGAATACTTTAATGAAAAACTTCTTCAACAAATTCAACCCAATTCTGAATATTATGAACTTTACTATCCCCATTCTGAATTCGAACCACACTATCAGAACTTATTTAATGATATCTCTGATGAAGAATGGCAAAATATTATTCAAAACCTTCCTCTCCAAAAAGCCTCTGGACCTCTTGAAACCAACTATGAATACATTAAATATGTTGGCTTTTTTGGCCAAATCTCTCTCAAACTATTTATTAACAAATGTTTTCAATTTCAAAAAATTCCATCTAATTGGAAAACATCTAACATCTTCCTTATTCCAAAAAAATCTTCATGGAACTTTACACTTAATCAAGTTTACCCTATCTCAATTATAGAACCTATAAAAAAATGTTTTACAAAACTTTTCATACAAAGACTTGACAATATCATTAAT